CCCCAGGAAGAGTTTTCCCTTCATTGTGTCTCTAGTGCTTCTAGTAGTGGGTGTTCAATAATTCTTTGCCGAATGAGTGAAGGGATAGATGAAGAGGGTGGTGAGGGATGAGCCCCACCTCTCGGATCACCCCATTTATTCTGCCATTGCAGCCTTGGCTCTTCTTAAACTTAGGATGTAGTATAAAAGAAGTACCAGGGTTGGGGGTGAGGGAAGGTCAATGGAGAAGGTCAGGGACAGGGAGAAAGGGCCACCCAGCAGCAAGGAAGGAAGGAGGGCAGCTCTGGGGATGGGAGGGGACATCCTGCAACACTTGCAAATGGGAGCCTGTGCTGTCCCAGCTCAGTGTGTTGCATGCTTTCATGGACAAGAAATTGGCAATATTGTCCCCTTAAGTCCACGTTTGCTTCTGACCAAAGGGATCAGCATTCATGTATCATCAAATATTCATAAGCCTGGAAAGACAAACACCCTTCTTATCAGTAAAACACAACTTCTTGTGGGCCTGAATTCTTAGTCATAGAAGAGAGCTTGGGAGACTTGGGAAACCCAGACGTTGGCTCCATGATGACACCGTAATGAATAAACCTTAAGAATAAGCACTGCAGCCTTTCATAGATGTTTTTCAAGTCTCCCTATCTCTTTGAGCTTCTCATTCCCATAATACCTCTGGACAAACTTTATCAGAATCAGAGAAAACGGGCAGATGCTGGAAGGCGGGGCTTCGCTGTCAGCTCCGGGCTGGGCACGGGTGGACCCCCCTGCGGGTGTCTCCATCTGGGTATTTCAACATCAGCATTCCCAGGCCTTAGACTGTTCTTCCTCTGATGATGGGATGGTTTCCTAATCCGTGAGTGCTGTGAATCAGCCCCTGGTGGAGGGGTGACTCAGTGGACTAACACGGTCAGGGCTCTGGATGAAAGAGGCCCGCTCAAAGACACCGCAGCAGTTCAGATGCCTGAAGTTTCAAGTCACAGGAACTCAGCCTAAAATGGTCTTAAACATAAGGATGTGTACTCCTGTCACATAAGAAGAAATCTAAAGATAGATGGTTCCAGGGCTATGCGCTTCTCTCTGTTCTAGAAAGACAGCACATGGAGCGATGAGGAGTCAGCCTCTGCCACTAGTTCCCCTGGCCTCAGCTCCCACTTGGGTGCTTCTCGGCTGTGGGGCTCTGGCATTCCTTAAACTCTCCAAGCCTCAGTTCTCTCCTCTGTGAAAATGGAGGTAACCACAGCACTTCCCCCCGGGGTTCTTGTGAGCATTAAATTAGTTAGTATGTGTAGACTGCTTGGCCAGGGCCTGGCATGGAGTCAGCACTATATTAGGGTTAGCTCTTATCTTTATTTAGTAATAGCAGCCTCTCATTGTCATGAGAGCTTCCAAGGCATCAAGTTTCGCACTGAACATGACAAAATGCTGGGCGGGCAGGAAAGTGTGGGAGGGGGCCAGGGCAGAGGGTGAGAATGGCACAGACTCTTCTTGTGCATCTCTCTCCTTTTGCCGGGAGAAAAATCTCCCCAGATGCCACATCCCTTCATGTTGGAGCCTATAGGTCAGGGTGGGGCCAAAAGGCGATGTCTGGCAAGACTCGGCAAAGAAGACTAGAATCACCATGGTTTGGAGTCTTCGTGCTAACATGGTAGCCACTAGCCCCATGAAGTGATTTAGGGTTTAATTAAAATTAATTAAAATGAGCCCTGGCTGGGTGGCTCAGCTGGTTGGAGTGTCATCCTGTGTACCAAAATGTTGCCGGTTTTATTCCTGGTAAGGGCACATACCTAGGTTCTGGGTTCAATAACCCTTCAGGGAGCATACAGGAGGCAACTGATCAATGTCTCTCTCTCTCTCTCTCTCTCTCTCTCTTTCTCTCTCTAAAGTCAACAAGCATATTCTCAAGTGAGGATAAAAAATAATAAGTAAAAAGATTAATTAAAATTAGAAATTCAGTCGCTCAGCCACACGAGCCACATTTCACGTGCTCAGTAGCCACGTGGAGCTGTGTTCTCCATGACAGACAGGGCAGATGTAGATTGGTCCCATCCCCCCAGAAAGTTCTGCAGCCAGCGCTGCACTCAGAGGTCACGCATGAGGGGCCCACCTTCCCTGAGCACATTTCCTCCAGGTGCCTGAACAAAATCAGGGCCCTGTTCCCAAGGAAGAGTGGGGGCGGCTGTTGGTCAGTAGTCAACAAGGAAGGAAGACGAAGGAGGACCATCCTAGATGTTGGTGAGATCAGAGAAGATCTCGGGGAGAGACTCAGAGAAGTTAAGGAAGTCGCATCCGACTTCAAGTTTACCATGCTGGCTCCTCTGCCCACTAGGCTTCCTTATGCACAGCATCCCGGGTATTTGACTGGGGTGGAAATTGGAATTATCAGGAAGGATATTTTTAGACGCCCATGTGAGTAGCTTCAGTTACTAAAGCACAAAAATGAACCTCCAGCCTGCCGACATCCTGGACCCCAACCTAATGTTACAAGGCTCTGCAAATCACCACACAATGTTGGCTGTTTTTATGATTGTCACGTAAAATGGGGTAATAAAAAACATGTTCCACTTCACATAATCACCATGAGGCATAACACAACATAACAGAGCCCTCAAGAAAGTCCTGCAACCTACCTGCAAACCCTGCACCAGGATCATCCCTGGCTCACCCAGGGGTCTAGGAAAGCAGTAAAAGTCCTCTCAGTGTTTGAGAAGGTGTCACTGACTGCAGCAGGAACACAGCTGGGGTCATAATAATAACTATTGTGCATTTATGCTGAACTATATGCCAGGCACTTGCCTAAGGTCAGGAAATGGCAGAGTGGGATTCACGCCCAGAGGTTTTACTGCCAAAGCCAGGCGCTCTGCCATACATTCTCCCCAGAACTCTAGATGACAAAGCTCTTTGGGGATCAGTCAGAGCAATAGTTCTCAAATTCCAGCCAGCACCAGAATCATCCAGGGAGCCAGTTAAAACCCAGATCTCTGGGCCAAGAATGTGCTTAGCAGGGTCTGCATCTCAGCTAGGGAGAGATGACTGTGTGCGTCCCTTCACAACTCCCTGCTCAAGGACCTCACAGTGGTAGCCTGAAACTGGTCCTAGTGGGAGATTTAAACCACGGGAATCAGCAAACTCTGGAGAGTCGGTTGTTAAACCTTCAGCAGCACACCTCTGACTAGTTTCCATCCTCAGATTCTCTAATTCAGTAAATCTGAGATATGGCCTGAGAATTTACATTTCTAATAAGTTCCCAGGCAATGCTGAGTCTGCTGGCCCAGGGCCCACACTTTGAGAACCACTCAGAAAAAACTTTCAGAGAGAGCCCTGAAATGGACGACAGATTGTTGTCCGGACATAGGTCATCATTGGCAGGAAGAATGCTGGTGGCCTCGTCAAGGAATGTTGCATGTAGATGACTATATCAAATCAATACTAATAAGAGCTAATATTTACGGAGTCGCCTGTCGTCAGCTACTGTCCTAGTTGCCCCATGCCTTAACTCATTCCGTCCTCCCAACAGCTCTGGACAGCAGGTTTTATTACAGTTGAGACGGAAGCAGGGAGCAGTCAAATGCCTTGTCCAAGGTTGTTCAGGGAGCAGGTGGTGTCACTGAGACGTGAACACGGGCATTCTGGCTCCAGAGCCCATGAGTTTAACCGCTACGCAGCAAATCACAGATGAAACCTGACTGTAGTTCTGCCAAATATAAATCTAGTAACAGTTCCCTCAAAACAACAACAACAACAACAAAAAACCCTTCAAAGAACATACACAGAAAAGGGAATTTGAATTTGTTCCTCCCAACTAGACATTCCTGACTTAGGAGAAAAATGAAGTTTTCATTCCTCTCACTTTCCTTCCTCCCACATCCTAAAGGTGCAGGACCACACTACCAGCTGACGAGAAAGTCACTCACCTGGATCAGGAGTCAGTGAACTTTTCCTCTGCAGGACAAAATAGTAAGTAAACACTTCAGGCTTTGCAGGGCACACAGGCGCTGTTGCAGCTACTCAACTCTGCCATTGTAGTTTGAAAGCGGCCACACAGGGGATGTCAGAATGAGTGTGGCTGTGACCCGGTAAAACTGTGTTTACAAAAACAGGCATTGGACCCCGTTCAGCTGTGGGCTATAGTTTGATGACCTGTCCTAGATTTATCTAGAAGTTACTCCTTATTTCTAAATAGCTAGCAGGAACTATATCTTCATTAAGTTTAGGTAGAATTTTAGCAAAAACAAACACACAGAACTATAAAAACACTATGTATAAACATAGAACATTGGTTACACCTGTAGATCACACCACTCTGTGTGTTCAGTCACTCACCAAGCCTTCTTCCAAGGGTGAGAGGAGGGTGGTGGCGATGTGTGGGTGCTGGCGGTCATGGACGTGGAGGTTCCTGGGATTAAACACGAGTGTCCAGGAGAAAGAGTTAACAGGCGTGCAGGAACAGCCAAGATACCAGAGGTGGGAGTAATTAAACTTCCCTCCTAGTAGCCCAAAAGGGGCTCCCAGTGCCTGCGCAGGTACAACCCTCCTCTCCAGGGAAAGATGCCAACCAGATGAGAGGGGAGCCCTGGTTTCTAGAAGCCTGATTCCACTCTCATCCACATCTGAAAGAGGAATGAAGATTGATACCATCTGGAAGAACATGGGGAGACCTGTGGTTCATTTCCAGCTCTCAGGCGCTCTGAGTTTATTAGGGCTCAGGAAAGAAAAGCAGTCACGATTCACAGCATGAAGGAGGTCAGAGCGGTGTGGCCAAACTTCCTCCCTCCCACAGCACCTTCCTAATGAAAACAAACAAACAAACAAACAAACAAAAAACCTGCACCTCAATTAGCACCATAGCGCACAGTGCTAATTTTATCAGAAGGGGGGGGGGAACCACAACTGAAAATGCCTTCTAAAAATCTGTTGTCTTCGGTTGCAAAAAGTTTCTAAGGACACAAATTTCCACTTCTGCTTTGAACCCTGGTGTCCAGGTGAGGTTACTTCCTACCACAGAGCCCTCCACCCTAACAACTTACATTAAAAAGCCAATATCTTTGTGGTTGCTGCCAAGAAATTTGAGTCCATTTGAAGCATTTTTATTCTAAGAAAATTTATTTCCATATGTAGTTGGGATGAAAACTACATAATATCCATTCCAAAAAAGGTGCTTTATAACGATGTTTGAAGTTACAATTGTGTTTCTTCCCTAGCTTGTCTTATCTTGAGCCATATGCTGCTGTGGATTAAAGGAAAGGGCATTTAAACCAAATGGCTTCTCTGAATAGCATTAATGCTGTCAAGAGTAGTTTGTGACAAAAGCTAAAGGTTGTGCTGTTGCCTTTTAAGCACAACCAAGTTAAACATCTGAACTATTTCTGCTGTCTCTTTAAATATTAGGATGTAACACATTTGGGATATTTGTTGACATTTGTTATACTTCTGATGAACAATTAGCCTGCAAGAATATTAACAGGAAATTCCATTCATGAGATAAGCAGCTGTTCGTGCAAAGCTTCAGCCAGATCATGGGACCAAAAATCTTCTTTATGCAACTAATGTTTGTTGAATAGTCAGCATTCCTTAGGTATCCAAAAGGAAATGCTTTGAAAATAACTTTTATGGCTGATTTTGACTCATATTTTGTAAGGAAAAAATAAGTCTTATGATTCATTTGGGCTCTGGTAGTTTATAAAACATGAATATTTAATAGTGTCCCTAATCACCATATATTTTTCAAATAGCGGGTACCAACAAATGACTGACCCCAGTAATTTCCAACCTGTAATACAGAATCATAAAGCCAGTCTTAACAACCCTAATTCCACAGCAATTCATGGAGGGTTCTTATTTCATTCTTGACGCAAAAGCTTAGAGCATCTACCATTATATGGAACACTCTTATTCAAAAATATGCATCTCTTTCATTTCTGAACTACAGTTATTAAAACACTTAATGTAATATTCCCATTGCAACATTTATTTAGGATCCACTAAATTGCTAGGAATACAGCTTCCAAATACTGAGAGGCACATGACTGGTAAGGAACGAGTTAGAGTCCAATGCCATGAGAGAAATGATGGCAGTTCTGTGAAAGTACTAGAAAGGCAATGCCTTCTCCACTGAGGGGCAAGAGTTTGATCAAAGGTTCACTCCCAAGCCATCCATCACCAAATTCTAAATACCATTGCCATTCACCACCTTCCTCTTTCTTTCCAGCTGCCTCATCTCCCCCTCTCCTCTACCCACCATGGACAAAAAGGGAAATCTGAAAGGGCCTGGAGTTTATTTTAAAGTCAAAGCAAAAGATCATAATTGTATCCCCATCAGTAAAATATTTCTGAGCAGGCATTCCCAGTGTGTGTGCATTTATTTATAAATTATACACATGTCCTACTCTGAAGTAGAGTATTAAATATCAGTAAAGTTTAGTGTCTCTTTCCTCTCAGATTAAAGACCACACCTGCATCCAATTTTCTTCTAATACTTTCCTGCATACTTTTTGGAGTACAAGCCTCCCCTGCAACTTGTGGGACCATTACTCAAAACAGCCACCAGAACAATCTTTCTCAAATGCTATCGGATCATACTTAAGACCCTGTCTAAAGTTCTGCAATGTATGGTCTGTAGCTTTTACTTGGGCTTATTTTAATAAACAAAAAGCCCTTCTGGATTTCCTTTTTTTTTGCCCATTATAGACTCAGATCTGGCTATAAGGATAAACAGGTATCCGCTCAGATAAACAGATCTCACACTCCCCCATCCTCACCCTCACCTTCATCGCCCTCCTATCCAGCTCCCTGCTCCAGTCCTGCTGAACTTTTGGCTGCAAAGGAGTAAATGGAGGCGCTGCAGTTTGGGAATGAAGGGGCTTAAACTTTTGAAGAAGCCAGTTCTTAGGGGAAACAAATAGCACCCTAATCAAAGCTTTGACCTCCAGACCTACCACAAGCTGTTAGAAATTAGGGCCCAGCCTCCCTCTTCCTCGAGTAGGTCAGCCTTCTACCTCTAGCTCCCTTTGCTCAACAACAGTCTCCACCTCACCCTGAGGCTACTCCCTCCAAGTAGAGTGGAGGTGGGGCCGGGGTAATTCCCTCCTTCCCTTTCATCCCCTGGCACCCTCCCCCGTTAAAGAGTCACCTGCTCCTGTGACAAGTTTCAAACACTTGTAGCCTAGGCTAGTTACACTTTTTCCTAAATTTTCACAGAATGTGTACAAATCTCTGCTGCTTAGATGCTAACATTTAATCTGTTTGCATGAGTAACAGGTTGAGAAAACTCATTACTGCCCTGGCCGAGTGGCTCAGTTGGTTGGAGAGTCATCCCATACCCCAAAAGTTTGCAGGTTTGGTTCCCAGTATGGCGCATACCTAGGTTGTGGGTTCCATCCCTGGTCTGGGCACACGGGAGGAGGCCCATCAGTGTTTCTCCCATCATGTTTTTTTTTCTCTCTCTCCCTCCCTTCCTCTCTCTCTCATGTCAATAACCACATCCTCGAGTGAAGATCAAAAGAAAACTCCTAATTCCCACTTAGCTCTTGCTGCTCACTTTGGGGATGGAACTATGCTTGCATGAGAAAATACGTGATGCCCGTCGGGGTAGAAGGCGAGGCCCTGAGGGCATAACTTTTAAGCCAACTACAGAAAGATAGTTGAACAGCTCTGCTTGTTTAATGAAAGAGCATTAGCTGATGGGGAGCAGAACAGGGAGGCAGGAGGGGAGAGAAGGAAAGAAGAAAGAACAGAAGGGGATTCAGCAAAAGAGCGGAGGAGTGGAATTAGAATCGGTGGAAAGGCCCATAACATTAGAAGAACAGGGGGTCTAGTACTCAATTGTAAAGTCATCGCCCTACGACTCTGCGACGTAACCTTCCTTGTCGTCAAATTGCCAGCGGAAATCTACTACATGCAGCTGCATCGTGTGCGCTGCATTTTGATGGATGGGGCGGATTTTTAGAAAGTGCAAGGCTTATGTCCTATGTTTGAGTTATCGCCAAGAAAAAGAAAAAGGAACAGCTGTAAGACATAGAGCGAAGGGCAAAAAGTCAGTAGAAGCTGGAAGCTCAAAGCAGAGGTGACTGGGGGTGTGACACAGGCATGTACAGGAGTCTTGGCAACAGCACTGAACTTCCTATTGTCTGGTGGACGAGGGGCCTGGGCAGATCTGATCTAGGTCTAAGAAGGCATGGTGGGTGGCCCAGCCGATACCCAGTGTACTCCAGGATGTGGCTCTGTCGTATCTGACATCTTCGAGATCCTCAACTACGAACTCTTCCTTGGCAGGAGGGTAAGGCATTCATTTCCTCCTAGCAGAGCAAGGTGTCTGCTTCAGTAATAGGTGATGAAAGATTAGTCCATCACTTTATAAACTTTAACTAATTGATAAGTACTGAGATGTCATTTATCATAGTTGGTGGTCTAAGATTCTGTGATTGATAGCTTAAGCTATTTTTTAATTAAAGGCTCTTTGGGTTTTTCTATTTATTACATAAGAATAATATATTATATCATTATATTCATATTATTATATTTGGGGGGCATTGCAACATTCTGTACCTTTTGGTGGTATTGAGCAGTGTGTCAGCCTCTTGAAGTGACCATCATTCTTCAGTGTAGTAATGAATATCCTGAAGAAGTTCAGGTCCCAAGTACCTACCAGGGACCAGAAGGTGACCAGTCCTATAGGGACTGTTATGGGCTGAATTGTGCCCTCCCCCCATTTTGTATGTTGACTATTTAAAACTATGACTGTTTTGGAGATAGGATCTTTAAAGAGGTAGTTAAGGTAAAATAAGGTTGTATGGTTAGGTCCTAATAATCCAATCCAACTGGTGTCCTTGTAAAAGAAGAAAATTAAGACATAGATATGTGCACACACGGAGGAAAGACCAGGTGAAGACACAATGAGAAGGTGGCCATCTACAAGCCAAGGAGAGAGACTTCAGAAGAAACCACACCTGCCAGCACCT